TCGAACTCCCAGCTAATGAGCTTGCGGCCATTGTACAGGGGGGGCCTAAAAGCGAGAGCAGCGACGGCAAACCAAGCGCCGTCCTCGCGGCTAATGAGGGCGGTTGCGGCGGCGTCGAGCGCCCCGAGGTGCGGGGGGTTCGGTACCAGATCTAGCCACTGGGCGCGCGGCCTGTAGACGAAGTGGTCCCAGTTCCAACCTGAGATGCTTCTGCCGTTGGGGTCGAGGGGAACGCGGAGGAGGACGAGATCCGCGTCAGTGGCGACGATCTTGGGCCCTATGCGGCTGAAGTCCAGGCCAGGGCAGTGGACACAGAAGTGGGAGACAAGTGGCGGGCGGGCGGCGCGGAAGGTCACCTCGATCGGCAAGCCGGTGCTCGTGGTGCTCTTGGCGGTGGTGTTGTTTGGGAGGTCGGCGATGTAGCACAACCTGTCGAGGAGGATCAAGCCTGAGGCGGCGGCGGGCTCGGGAAGTGAAGGTGGAACCCAGGAGGAAACAGTGGAGGAAGCCATGTCCCGATGTCCGTGAAAGACGAGGAAGCGGAGGAGGGGCGGTGAGTAGATCGGAAGGGATGGCAGCAGGCGGCGAGATTTGGGAACGAAATTTGGGGCTAGGGACCTAGGGTTCCCTTTGGGGGATTTTGTTGATGTAGTATTAGTGTTTTCCCTTTTGTACCCTTGTTTAGTTAGTTTCTTGTAGAGCAAGTATATGTATCCTTGTAACCCTAATTGATTTCATATATATGTGAGCGTCGTATACGAGATCATCAGATTGATATCTCGCTAAATGTATTTCTCCTTCTTCCTGCTTTGACATGGTATCTAGAGCAGGTTAATCTTTCTCATTTTTTTTTTCTTTTTTCTCGTTCTTCTACCATGGCTGGTACGAGTACCAGTACTGAGACTGTTTCCAGAAAAACGATCTCTCCCTACGATATCACTTCCAGCGATAATCCTGGCCTTTTAATTACTCCAGTTCAATTAAAATGAGATACCAACTATGAAGAATGGTCTCGTAGTATTCGCATCGCTCTTCGTGCACGCAAGAAGTTCGGATTTTTGGATGGTTCGATCGCCCGTCCTCCTGCCAGCAACGAGTTGTTTGAAGATTGGCAAGCAAACAACTCTCTTTTGCTCTCCTGGCTTATGAACAACATCGATACCACGCTCAGATCTTCAGTGGTGGAACCGGAATTTGTCGAGGACCTTTGGTCTTCCTTGAAGGAGCGATTCACTATGAAGAATGGTCCCCGAATTCAACAACTTAAATCCGATCTCGCGGCTTGTAAACAGAAAGGCATAAGTATTGAAGCTTACTACGGTAAGATTTCCAAACTTTGGGAGGAATTGGCAGATTATGATAAACCTCCCATGTGTAGTTGTGGTCTCTGTAAGTGCAATTTACCTGTTCAGTGGAATTGTAAACAAGAAACAGAGAGAGTCCACCAATTTCTCAAAGGCTTGGATCCTACACTCTACGGTCCCACTCGTTCAAATCTGTTGGCCCAAGATCCTCTCCCGACGTTGAATCGGATTTATTCGACTTGCATCCAGGAAGAAAGAATGTGCACCATCTCGATCGCCAACGACAACCTTGATGCTGCTGTGGGTTTTGCTGTTCGTACAGGCCCGGTTTTGTTCTCTCACGGGCTTGACGGTGCCGTCGGCGGTGGGCGTGCTGGTGGCGGTCCTCTACATGCGCTGCCGGCGTCTGGTTCTATGCTACCGGTGACGGGTTCTTCAACTGATCAGTCCGGCAGCTCTTCGGGAGGTGGAGGAGGTCGACAGCGTCTGTGCTCTCAATGTGGCAAAAACGGACATCTTGCGGCCAGCTGCTTTGAGGTTATCGGCTTTCCCGACTGGTACCCCCGTGGTGGTGGTGGTGGATGCCGTGGTGGACGGCGCGGACGCGGTGGCCGTAGCGACGGAGCTCCTGTGCAGGCTAACATTGCCGCCGCGGCTGTCCAGGTTGGAGCCAATACAAATACAGGTTTGACTTCTTCCGATCGACTTCTTAGTGGCTTGACTGATGAACAATGGACTCACCTTGTTCAACTCGTCAATTCTGCTAAACAGGACAGTAAGTCGTCTGGTAAGCGGAGTTTATATGACTGGATGTATGACTGTGGTGCCTCTCATCATATGCCTGGTTTTTTGGAATTTTTGTCTGATGTTCGTGACATATATGCTCGTCCCGTTCAGTTACCAAACGGGTCTTTGACTTCTGCCAGTAAAATAGGCACTGTTTATTTGCAGCTATCTTTCTCAGTAGGGACTACTAATGGACTATCACGAACGAAGTGAGGGATTGGACGACGGACGGGTGTCTATTATTTTACATGATGTTTTATTTGTCCCCAGCTTACAGTGCAGTTTAATATCCTTGTACCAATTGCTGAATACATCCGGTTGTACGGCCCACTTTACTAATAAGTTTTGTGTCATTCAGGATTGCACTTCGAGGATGGTGACTGGAGCGGGTGAGCAGATAGAGGGACTATACTTCTTTCGGGGGACAGTTTCTGCTGCATCTACTTACGTGGTTAAGGTTTCTGCTGATCTCTGGCACCAGTGGTTAGGACATCCGTCGAATCGTGTCTTGTCACATTTGCCTTTAGTTGCTTCTCAATTTTCTGCTTTGAAAAAGCCATGTGATGTCTGCTTTCGAGCAAAACAAACTAGAGACAGTTTTTCCCTTAGTAATTCTATGAGCACTGGCATTTTCCATCTGATACATTGTGATTTGTGGGGCCCCTATCGGGTTCCGGCTTTCTGTGAATCTAGATATTTTTTTTACCATCGTTGATGATTTTTCTCGTGGTGTTTGGATTTATTTACTTGCTGATAAGACAGAGGTATCTTCAGTCTTTATCAATTTTTTGGCCATGGTTAAACGTCAATTCGGCACATTAGTGCGTGTGGTTCGTAGTGACAATGGTACTGAATTTGTGTGTATGGCTGATTATTTTCGTCGTGAAGGCATTTTACATGAGACCTGTTGTGTGGGTACACCTCAGCAGAATGGGCGTGTTGAACGCAAGCACCAACACATTCTTAATATTGCTCGTGCTTTGCGCTTTCAGACCCATCTACCACTTTCATTCTGGGGTTATTGTGTTCTTACTGCCGCTCATCTAATTAATCGCACCCCGTCGCGTGTTTTGGATAGCAAAACTCCATATGAGATGCTATATGGGAAGCTCCCTGATTATTCTCGCTTACGTGTTTTTGGGTGTTTGTGCTATGTTTATAATTGCGATCGACATGGGGACAAATTTGCTAGTCGCAGTCGTCGGTGTATATTTGTTGGATATCCACTTGGGCAAAAAAGATGGCGCGTTTATGATTTGGATCGTGAGAGTTTTTTTGTTTCCCGAGATGTTGAGTTTGTTGAGACGGAATTTCCTTACGAGACATCTTCTTCTGCTCCTTCGCCTACTTCGTCCCCTACTGTTGTCACTTGGCCTCCTACTTTAGACGAGGATGATGAGCACATGTTAGTTGTACCTCCTGCTGTTGTGGCTGATCCGCCTGTTGTCTCTGACTCTTCCCACGTCAGGGAGGGCTCTTCCTCTTCGGTTTCGGCTCTGGCTGAGCCTACCGAACTGTTGGGTCGCGGTCACCGTACTCGCCACCCCTCGACTCGCCTTCGTGATTTTATTGCTGCCACTGTCTGTCCCCCTAGTCCCTCTGTTGCCCCGCCTGCCTCGTCATCATCCTCAGGTACCTTTTATCCTATCACTCATTATGTTAATTGTGATTCTTTCTCATCGGGCCGTAAGACATTTCTGGCAGCTCTTGCTTCCGCGATTGAGCCTCGTACCTTTGCTGAGGCAGCTTCTGATAGTCGATGGCGCACGGCTATGCAGAATGAAGTCCAGGCTCTCGAGAACAATGGTACTTGGGAGGTGGTTTCCCTTCCTGCCGGAAAACGTGCTATTGGCTGTAAGTGGATTTACAAGATTAAATATCGATCTGATGGTTATGTTGAGCGCTATAAAGCGCGACTTGTGATTTTAGGTAACAATCAGGTCGAAGGCATTGATTATCATGAGACTTTCGCTCCTGTTGCCAAAATGGTTACGGTGCGGACTTTCTTAGCGGTTGCAGCAGCTCGGCAGTGGGAGGTTCATCAGATGGATGTTCATAATGCCTTTCTTCATGGTGATCTCGCTGAGGAGGTCTACATGAAGGTTTCCCCTGGATTTTGTTCTGGTGATGATGGACGGTTGTGTCATTTGCATCGCTCGTTATATGGTTTGAAGCAGGCACCACATTGCTGGTTTGCGAAACTAGCGACTTCTCTCCTTCAGTATGGTTTTTCTCAGTCGCATTCTGATTACTCTTTGTTTACCTTGCATCGCGGTTCTGTGCAGTTGCAAGTGTTGGTGTACGTTGATGATCTCATTGTCTCTGGTAATGATCCTACGTCCATTGTGGCCTTTAAGAGTTACTTGAGCCGTTGCTTTCACATGAAGGATTTGGGTCTCTTGAAGTACTTTCTGGGCATTGAGGTTGCTCTTAACACTTCAGGCATTTTTCTGTGTCAACGAAAATATACTTTGGACATCATTTCTGAAGTTGGCTTATTGGGTGCCAAGCCTGCGGCATTTTGCACTGGAACAGAATCATCATCTTCTTGATGATACCGGTCCTCTCTTGGCCGACTCGGAGGCTTATCGGCGCTTGATTGGTCGGTTGATTTATTTGGCCGTTACGCGTCCTGAGCTGTCTTATTCTGTCCATGTTCTTGCTCAGTTTATGCATCAGCCTCGGCAAGCACATTGGGAGGTTGCTTTACGTGTTGTGCGTTACTTAAAGGGATCTCCTGGGCAAGGTATTGTGCTTCGTTCTGACTCTGATCTTCAACTCTCTGGATGGTGTGATTCTGACTGGGCGACATGTCCCCTTACTCGTCGTTCCCTCAGTGGCTGGTTTGTTCAATTAGGCCAGTCTCCTATTTCTTGGCGTACCAAAAAACAACACACGGTGGCGCGTTCTTCTGCTGAAGCTGAGTATCGGGCTATGGCTACAGTCATTTGTGAGCTTAAATGGTTAAAGGGGTTACTACACAGTCTTGGCGTGTCTCATTCGCAGCCTGTGCGTCTTTATTATGATAGTCAGGCAGCATTACATATTGCTGCAAATCCCGTTTTTCATGAACGGACTAAGCATATTGAGGTGGACTGTCACTTCGTTCGTGATGTACTTGTTCAAGGCCTTGTTTCTGCATCACATGTTTCTACTCATACACAGTTGGCTGATCTTTTTACCAAGGCACTTGGCAAGCGCGAGTTCGACTTCTTCCTTAGCAAGTTGGGCATTCGTAATCCCCATGCTCCAACTTGAGGGGGGGTGTTGATATAGTATTAGTGTTTTCCCTTTTGTACCCTTGTTTAGTTAGTTTCTTGTAGAGCAAGTATACGTATCCTTGTAACCCTAATTGATTTCATATATATGTGAGCGTCGTATACGAGATCATCAGATTGATATCTCGCTAAATGTCTTTCTCCTTCTTCCTGCTTTGACAGATTTGGAGCCGCGGCCACATCAGTTCTTGTTATTTGGTTTGGATAGCATGAATTGCATAAAGAATGGTTGGATGATTTTATGATATTGGGATTGATGATTATTATAGTATTTGGCAATGCGTGTATTAGTGTAGATGTCACATTATCTTACGTACAAATGAAAATACTTACTTTTAATACTTGTACGTCCTTTGTTTTTTTTTTTAAACGATGATTATATTAATAACAAACTCAAAACAGTACAATCGAAGTGTCAAATAACACACTGGAACCAGAAAATTGGACCAGCAACTCTTGTCATCACACACAAGGGGTACAAACTCCAACAAGAAGGTGAAAAACCACAAAACAAAACTCCAAAATAGAGACACTAACTCAATATAGAAGAGAAAACAGACACAGCTGCACTAAAAGCAGACAATTGCACTTAACCAACAAAAAACACAAGAAAAAAACAACTCACGCTTAATTAATAAAATAAAGCCCTCCTCGGCCGCCGTCAAAATACACATACACTACAACCTCACAAGCCAACAAGTCGAAGAAATCTACATAGAAGAGCCCGTCCTCAGTCTAGAATACCAGTCCAAAAACTCCGCACTCCAAATCGGCTACAATTATCCAAATCTGAGATCCTCAACCTCGAAAAGGCATTCAATGCAAAGAGACCACTTCAATCAATGCCGAGCCACAAAACACGTCCCCCGCCCCACACACACATCAAAGACCAACCGCAACCTGCCGTGAAGACCAGCCCTTGAGAAATAAGGCACGAACAGAGTGGGGACGTCAGCAACACAAAAGCTGCCGGAGCTCGACTTTCACCCTTCAACGACGTCTAAGGCACGTGGAGCACGAACAAGGAGAGGGGGCGAGTTGCCGCCGATTTCAGGTTTTAGAGTTAAGGGGCCAAATATGGACTTCAGTGATAGTTGAAGGGCCACCAGCGGACTTTTTACTTAATTCAAAAATAAACATAGCCTGCCATATTAGTCCCTGCTCCACATGCCAGCCTATCATCCAGTGATAGGACTGTCTATTAAAAGGTTGGAACATTATTCATCAGATTTCAAATACGTGTTTAGTGGTATAAACGAGGTTTTCATCGTCCACGAGTCGCCGATGGTGACTTCGGGAATCTTCAGATCTGTCGGCTCAGTCATTCGGAGGTGCTCATAAGGGTATGATTTGCTTATGTGTATTCACAGAAGTATGTGTGCGCGTATTATAGGTGTATGTCGGGGATCATATAAAGAAAATGCGCTTTATGACAAAGCGTGGAATAAGGAGAGAAGCTCATCCAATCAACAAATTTGGACGAATCCCCTCCAGGGATGCACTCTAAGCCCAACTAGTGACTCACCGAGGTCTCCTATGCCATTGCGTGTCCATGAGGATCTGAGGCCCCCGCGTGGGCGGAACGGGCGGTGACCAACCCTAGCCGCCGCCGCCGCTACCCCATCCCTCCCTCCCTCTTGCTGCTGCCAGAGGGAGTCACCGGAAGGCCCGCGCCACTCCCCAGAACGGCAACGGCGAGGCACTCACGCCGCCGGCCATGGCACTCTGTGCGGGGCGGCGCTCCATGGCCGGCCTCCTCCCACTTCTCCCTCCGGCGACTGGTGGTGGCCTCGGCTTGTCTTTGCCCGGATCTGGTCCTCCCTTGGCTAGATCCCGCCCCCCGCCATCGGGATCCGACCAGGAATCTGCCCATCGGGGACCGTCCGTCAGGGATTCGGCCGGGGCTCCGTCCCTCTGGTCATGCGCGCGCCTCCCGCCGCCCCCCCTCCGATACCTACCCTCTGTTGGGGTAGCGTCTGGTGGCTGGGACGGTGGGTCCGCCAATCGCAGGCAGGCTGCGTCGCTGGCATTGGGGATGGCTGTGATCTAGTGCCTGTGTCGGCGGCTTCGGCCCTCCGTCGTTGTCGCTGTTGCGGGTGCCGCGAGTGGCCTGTCCTGTGGTACAGTTTCTTGGTGAAAACCTTCCCCGGTTCATTCGGGACGGCGATGGTGGCACATCTGTGACATCCCCTGGTTGAGGTATCGTCAAAGATCCTGTTCATCAGGGCAGACTGGGGTCGAAAGACCTACTCATGTGTTTTTGTCGGCGTTTTGTCATCTACGGATATCAAGGTCCTTCCTGAAGGCATCGTTGGAACACTGTTGCAGTCTATCTCCCGTTGCTCTTGCCATCTCCAGAGTGGCTTCGCTCGGCGTGCGGTTGGCCGCGGGCGTTGGAGGTCCCGCCTTACCGTGACAACTGAGTGTGGGCTCGCCGATCTCATCTCCTTGGTCAGGTTGTTCTGTGGACTGCGTCTGGTTACACAGTGGCCAGCATTTTGGACATGTCGGCGTCCGATACGTACAACATCGGATCCCTTCAGTTTGAGTACAGTTCAACGCCAGCACTTGTGGTTACATATCTGGTCACCTAGGCTTGGTTAGAGATGTGTGCCAAATGTCCAAGCTGGCAATTGGTGCGAGTGATGAGGATTATATCTTTTTGGCGGTTAAGGTACGCGGATCACCGATATTGGTTCTATGCGTTTGGCTACAGATGTGTTATGACAATGGGTTGAACTTGACCTAGAGGTGGTAGAGGCATTGGAAGGACACTCAAGTTGTAGGCTTTTATGTTTTCCTTTTCTCTTTTTTGCTCTTTCTTTCCTAGGCTTTATGCTGAACTGAAAGAGGCTTCTCGCTGTAATAAAGTTCTTGTTGGCTATATGTATCGATCGATACAGAGGCCGGAATATTAATATATTCCCGATTCTAAAAAAAAGGTTCGGCTGCATCCTTTGTCGACACGGCTT